AGTCACCGGAGTAGGGGGGTGGTGCATGTGGGGTGGGTTTATTATATTATATTATATTAGAATTAAAAAAAAAAAAAAAAAACCTGATTTTTGAAGTTTCAAACTATAAACCTTATTTTTGAATTGGTGTAAAGAATACACCTTATTTATGAATTTTTCCCCTAGATCTTTATTGCTTTTAAAATGTCATTTCTATCAACCCCATCTCCCGTGCAAGCACGTTTATTTGTAAGGTGATAAGAAATCGGATGCTAACCATTCAAGTTGTTTGATACTAGAACAAAAAATAAAATTATTGTTTATTAAAAGAAATTCATAAATTAGTCATTTAAAAGAGAGAGATAAAAAAAAAAAAAACATGAACTTGTCTAAGCAAACTTCAATTTTCACTACTCTTCATTCAAATCGTTCACGACATTTGTCCACATATTTGAGGATATGTTAGTTTCCATTTGTTGCTCTTTAAGTTTCAAATACGTCTTCAATTGTTGATGATGATGATGATGTAGATGAAGATTCACTATTTGGTTCAATAAAAAATTCATAAGAACAGCATGAATGAAGTTGCCTCCATTTTGGATGGAACTATCAAAGAATAAATTGGGATGTGTCAATATATTGGGATTCACATTTGCTAAGAGCATCTTGGATGCATTCAATAACTTGCTATCTAACTTGTAAATTGAAAGATTTTTAATTGAATTACACTACACATACATGGAAACTTTTCACATAATTTTTACAGGCTTCCACTTGAAGCAGTTTCATTGGCAAATAAAAAGAAAAGAAAAATCTGCAAATGGCAGCACCTGTAAAGCTTCTGTTCATATTTAAGCAATCTAGTAAAACTCTAGTCTTTATCTCCACACGATCTATCTACAACTCAATATTGTTGTATAGTCATCTTCTATTTTCTTTAAAATAGAAACAAAATCCTATCTAAATTTGTTTGGGCTCCATTAAAATCAAAATTTAAGGGAATATTTATTTTGAAATAGTGATTTTTTTATAAATATATGGTTAAAAAAGAAGAATAATTTTGAATTTACATGTAATATTATTTACGGTATTCTATCATTTAATACCATCTGCATGAAAATCATCACCAGTTTTTACACTTGCCGAAAATATTAATAAGGCCCTCTCATTTACACTTCTACTTCATTCTAAAAACTCCATAAGCTGACCAGAAAAGAAGTAAAAAGTGTAGGGAAAAAAAAAACTTTCTTTAATGATCAAACACATGTTTTAACTTTCAACTTGTTCCCCCCTCTATTTTTGGTTTATTTGATATCTATGCTGAGTAAAAAAAAAATTTAAAAAGTTGATGCACGAACAAAATTTATACAGAATAAAATTATAAATGAAGTCATAGTATAACATTATCTAAAGTTATCTCCGACGAGGTTTTACTGCATAAAATTCATTTATAACAGAATCTATATTTAAGTTCATAATAAGTTCTTGTCGCATGTAGAGTGTAATACAATCAGCAAGAAAACTATGTTGCTTTTCATACTGTCAGTTGCCATTGTAATTCTTCTCTTTCCTTTTCATTGGAAAAACGTGTTAATACTACTATTTAGATGTATGTTGCTTTTACCTTAGAGAATGTGTCTGATTATTCACATCTCCATGCATTGGGGATTTGATTACATAATCCGCTCTGCCAACCTGTTGAATTTGAATATGGTAACACATTTATTTTCAAATTGGACAACACAACACCAGTACACCACAACCATTTTGCAATCAAGAAGAATTTATTAGCACTTCGAGTACTTTTTGTAACATTAAAAACTATAAAACAATCAAATTTAATCTAAAGCGAGACATTTCATCAAACACTAGTAGTTATTTTAGTTTCTTTAGCACATTCCTGTTCAACAATTCTCAAAGATTTGCTTATGTTCACAAAATATTTGGTGCTAGCAACATTGGAAAGATGCTTCAGGATTTCCAGTGCAAATGGTGGGCTAATGTGACGGATTCTTTGTATTTGGAGACTCATTGTTGCAATCTCAAATAGTTAAAATTCAAGTAGAAATTGCCTTCCTTAGAACTATAAAATGATCAAACCATATCAACACTACTTTGCATCTGTTGGGCCGTGAATTTATAGGAGAACCTAAGGAATCCATTCCATATGAAAAATTGCAGAAAATGATATTAAACTCAAAAATTCAAAACTTGAGTAGAAACCAAACTAAACCAAAACAAAAAGAAATGCATAAAGCTAGACAAAAGCTTACCTTACAAGATGAAGCCCGAAATGCAAATTGCAGCCAAGTTTTGCTGGTATCTCTGTTCTTTGCACAATTGCAACCAAGCGCATTTTGACCTTATCTCTGACTCCAGTACATAATGTGATCCATAATGTGATCCATATATGCCCCTCCTGGTCTCCAATAATCCCTCCGGGGCACCCCCAGCAGCAAGATTTGAGGATATTTTAAAGAAACCATCAGTGTTGAGTTTTACAACCCCCCCCCCCCCCAAAACCAGTACACCACAGTGTGCAATTTTATGGACTTGGGAAATTGTATATCACAATCTAATTTTGGAATAACATTATATCTTGGGTTAGGTTTTTTCCCTCTCAAAATTTGAGTCAGATACTACAATAATCAGGTAGCCAAGCATAGAGGCTATCTGAGCTAATTCCCACGTGAAATTTATCGACATTTAGGTTTACCACAGCCATGCTTCTAGCTTTGTCTCGAAGGCTCGACATTACTGTTACTGAAAAAAACAAACATCAATAAACATATGGCCGCCAAGAAGATGAAACAAAGATTTTGACCGATGAGCCTACTATGAACTTAAAGGAAGAATTCTTATTTTCTTTGTTTTTATATTTCTATACAATACAAAATAGAAATTTCAGTACTCAAATTGTTTGCACTAAATACTGAAGAATCAGCCCTTGCTAGCTAAAGTTCCGTGTCACGGGGCTAGATTTCTTACACTAGAAAAATTAGACACCGTGCGGCCTTAACGCAACACAATTCCCGTCCCTACGAGAAAGCGTTAAGTCAGCCTTTCGATACTCCCAAAATGATTCAACCTTGTAGGCTAAATCAAGACAAACTTTGAGTATGAGATTTGAAGTAAAAAAGACAATATTGAGAACAAGTAAGTTTGGGGAGAAAATCTATCTTTATATAAAA